TGTTTTGATTGTGGTTATTTTAAAACTTTCTAGAAATCAAGTGAAAGAAGTGTAACTTTAGGGAATGGATCAGTCGCATCGATACTTCGCATTGGAGATATAGATTTAAAGATGACTTCTGGAAAGATCTTAACTTTGAAAGATATGCGATATGTTCTTGGAGATAGAAGAAATTTTGTTAATGGATTGTGTTTAGTACAATTAGGTTACAAAGTTATAATGGAGCTGAATAAAATTATAACAAGTAAAACTAATATTTTTATTAGAAAATGTTTTGTATGTGATGGTTTATTTAAATTAAATGTATCTTTTGAAATTACTAATATCTCTCATAATACTTTGAATATTGAAGTTTGTGATTTGTGGTATGGAAGACTTGGACATGTGAATTTAAGGAAAGTTAGGAAAATGATGGATTTAGAATTAGTACCTAAGTCACATATTGATATCAAATGCAAATGTGAAATATGTGTGCAAGCAAAACAATCTAAGAAACCTTATAAATCTGTTGAAAGAAATTCACAACTCCTAATCCTTATACATAGTGATGTTTGTGATTCTAATAGACCACCAACTAAAGCATGAAATAAGTATTTTATAATCTTTATAGACGATTGTTCTAGGTTTTGTTACTTTTATTTAATTAAAACCAAATGTGAAGTGTTTAGTAAATTTAAAATTTATAAAGTTGAAGTAGAAAATCAATTAGAAAGGAAGATTAATCAACTTAGATATGATAGATGAGGTGAAAATAATGTAGGTATTCTTAGTACTTTTTGTGTAAAACATGGAATTATTCATGAAGTCACGTCACCTTCTTTTCCACAATCTAATGGAATAGCTAAAAGAAAAAATAAAACTCTACTGGATATGATAAATGCAATGCTTATTAATTCTGGTTTACTGGAGAGCTTGTAGGGGGAAGCGATACTTACTACTTGTATTATATTAAATAGAGTAATTGTAAATGATAATGATAAAACACCTTATGAAATCTAAAAACAAAACAAATGCCTAATCCTAAAATGTTGAAAGTATGGGAATGTTTAGCAAAAGTAGCAATTCCAAAACCTAAATGTAAGAAAATACGATCCAAAACTACTGATACTGTTTTCTTAGGATATGCTTAAAGTAGTAGTGCTAATAGATTTCTAGTAATAAATTCTGAGATAAGTGAAATCACTAATAATACAATAATTGAATCTCGAGAAGCTACATTTTTTTAAGATATTTTCCTAAATAAAACTAGGATATTAAATCAAGTCATAGATAGAACATCAATTACTAGTACTAGTGTTATTTCTTTGAGAGATGATTCTAAACATCTAGACATAGAACATAGAAGGAGTACAAGAGCTAGAATAGAGAGAAACTTTGGAGATGATTTCTATACTTTTTTAGTTGAAGTTGAGCCGAATACTTTTATAGAAGCTATGTCATCCTTAGATGCCCCCATTTTGGAAGGAAGCCATTAATAGTGAGATTGAATCAATACTTTACAATAATACTTGGGAGTTGACTAATCTACTTCCTGGAAGTAAAGCTATTGGTTCAAATGAGTATTTAGAAAGAAATTAAAACATGAAGGAAGCATAGATAAATATAAGACAAGATTAGTAACCAATGGATTTACACAAAAGAAAGGAATAGATTATTCTGACATCTATTCACTTGTTTCTAGGATTACTACCATTAGAATCTTAATTGCTCTATCATTCATTTATAATTTAGAAATTCATCAAATGGATGTTAAAACTACATTTTTTAATGGAGATTTAGATGAAAAGATTTATATGGAGCAACCTGAAAGTTTTACGGTAAAGGACAAGAATATAAATTTTGCAAGTTAATTAAATCTTTGTATGAACTAAAGCAAGCTCCTAAACAGTAGCATCACAAATTTAATAAGTAATTGTAGAATATGGTTTTAAGATCAATGAACATGATAGATGTGTATACTTTAAAGACGATAATAGAAAATGTATTATTTTGTATTTATATGTTGATGACATCTTATTATTCGAAATAAATTTAGAGATAATTAAAAATGTGAAATCTTATTTGTCTTCAAAATTTGATTTGAAATATTTAGGAGAAGTTTATATAATTTTGGGTATGGAATTAAAGAAAACAACCAATGGTATTGCATTGAATTGATTTGGAATCCTAGAGAAGATTTTAAAAAAGTTTGATTATTATAATCTCAAACCCGTTTCAACCCATTTTGATTCTAGCATGAATCTAAAGAAAAATAATGGTGCACCTATCTCAACTTAGATATTCTCAAATTATTTGATCACTTCTCTATATTGGTAATAAGGCTAGACTTGATATTCTGTGCCCTTGGGAGATTAAGTAGGCACACTCATAATCCTAGTAAAGATGATTGGATTGCTATGGAAAGAGTTTTCAAATATCTAAGAAGAACTCTAGATTATTCACTTTGCTTTAGTGGTTTTCCTAATGTGGTAGAAGGTTATAGCGATGCTAATTGGATAACAAATAGCCTAGATGCTAAGTCTACTATTGGATATATATTTATATGTTAGGTAGAGCAACAATATCTTGGGGTTATAAAAACAAATTGTTGTCTATAGAAGTACAATAGAATCATAACTTATAGCTTTATATGTTACGTGTATTGAAGCCAAGTGGATTAAAAATTTACTCCTTCATATTCCATTTGTGAAATATCTTATATTTGCTATTTTTATACATTGTGACAATAGAACTATAATATAACTTGTGAGACAAGCACATACTAATAAAAAGATGAATAAGCATATGCAAGTAAGGTACAAATCTATAAGAAGTTTGGTGAATAAAAATGTTATATCTTTGAATTTTTTGAAATTTGAAAAGAAAATCGTTGATTAGTTAACAAAAGGTTTATCTAAGAGTGTAGTATTAGATTTATCGAGGGGGATGAGTCTAAGCTCATAGGGAGTTAACTAAGGAGATAACCTGACTTCTGTGATTGGAAATCCCACGAAAGAAGTTCAATAGGTAAGAACAATCCTTAAAGCGTGATTCATATTCCAACACTTTAAATAAGGAGACTTTTAATAAATTTATTATTTATGTTCTCCTGCTCATATCTAAGATATCAGTGCTGATATAAATGTGATGATTAAAGAAGAGTACTTAGTCTAAATAAATCCAAGGCAGGTATACTTTCACAAAATAGACATCATTCACTTCTATCTTTGAAGGATTCACCTAAGTAAGAGCGTTGTGAAGCCGCAATTGTGGGAATGAAATTCTCACGAGAATCTAGATTGAGCACATGGTTGCTAATAGCGTTAACCTACACCAAAGTTATGTATCATACCATATTTGTGACATATTGAATTCTGGTAAAAGTGATTTAATTCAAGACGTGGTATACTGACATTCCTTCGTAATAAAACTGGCAACACTAAGTAAGGTTCAAGTTTTTCAAGTTTTAAAAACACCTACACATATTGTATGGTCTTATTGTTGCCCATATTATCATTATTTTTTTTGTGTTTATTTGATAGTTTTACAAAGTTTTGAATCTTGTGGGAGATTATTGGAGATTTCCTAAAAAGGTTCAAAACTTTATTTGTATTTATTTATTATTTATTATTTTATTTTATTACATTATTTGTATTACTTATTTGCTTTTTTTTTTTCTTCCAGCAACCATATTTATTTATAATTCAAATAATGTTTGAATTAAAAAATAAATGGTGTGTCTGTTCCCAACCGACATCAAAAAGTCTTTATATAGAGGACTCTAACTCAGACAAAATAACATATACAACGTATTTTGATTTGCTCTCTCTCACCTCTTTATTGTATTTTTTATATTCTATATTCTGGATAATCAATACAGACTTGACAAATCTATCTGGTGCAACTGTGTATTGTTTCAGATTCTTGTGAGTTTTTAGGTTATATCTTAGAGTCTTTTGTGATCATTAGAACTTGCACGGAGGGAGAGCATAACGACTTTAGGACAGCGTCTTTGATGCGCCTCTCAAAATTACACAGACTATTTTTTTTCTTTTTTTCTTTTTCAGTATTATGTTATATATATATATATATATATAATTTTATCAAATTGTATAAAGCCTATTTTTATAATAGAGAATTTATTTTTCAATTTATATAATAATATTAATATTTAATTAACGTAATTTTTTATAAAAGTAAAATATTAAATGAACTCTACATATGAAATAATTTAAATTATTAAAACAAGAAATGTAATCATCTTACTTGGTTTCCAGTTTTGCAAAACACTTTTCAGAAAATTCTACTTTCTTATTTTTCGTGTTTTTTTATTTTTACTGAATTTTTTTAATATTTTAAGCAATTTTTTTACTTTTTAGACACACCTAACATAAATACACCTAAAAAGTAAAAAAATTGTAAAAAAAATCTTTTAAAAATTTACTAAATATCAAAAATACAAAAAAAAATATAAGAATTCAGTATATTTTTTGTATTTTTATGTATTTATTAATTTTTTAAAATATTTTTTCACAAATTTTTTTTACTTTTTAGATACATCTAAGTAAGGTGCATCTAAAAAAAGTAAAAAAATATTTAAAATTTAAAAAATATTCACTAAAAACTAAAAAACTAAAAAAATCAATTTTCAAAAACCAATAATACTGTTCAATTCACTTTTTGTCAGCTAGAGAAAAGATCTGCATATATATATATATATATATATATTTGCCCTTTTGACTGTCATTTGATTAAAATAACTTGGTCAATTCAAATCGTCCTCTTTCTCTCTCACGGGTATTGATTCTTTTACCAACCGAAAGGGGGGTTATTGGTCTCTACTCACCTTCCTTGTTCTCACTTATTTTATTTTTTTTGATTCAAAGTTCTTACTTATTTTATTATCTATAAAATAATGGCAAATTCATACATAATAATATGTAGGAAAATATTTATATATGGGATGTATTGCACAGCAATTCACTGTTACCTCCCTTTCCCTTATAAATACCATAACCCTCATTCTCCTCTTCACAAAGCAACAACTCCAACCCATCATCAATCTCTCTCTCTCTCTCTCTCTCTCTAAATATCGATCGTCTCTCTCGACTTTCTCTCTCTAAATACTGATCGTTTGATCATAAACCAAACCATGGTTCTCTCAAAGACTGCTTCAGAATCAGATATCTCTGTCCATTCCACTTTCGCCTCTCGCTATGTTCGCACTTCTCTTCCTAGGTACCCTGTAGCACCCATAATGTTTTTTATTACATTAATGGTATTTAAACTATGTAATTTTGTTAAATCTCATTTTTTAAGTTTTTATTTATTTATTTATAAAACATGTATTTTGTTATGTTTTAATTCCAAACATCAGTGATGTTTAAAATCACCGAAAAAATATATTTTTAAATTTACACAAAGTTTCAACGAAATAGAGGGGTGTTTTGGGTACATTATAAAAGTTAATTTTTTTTTTTCACTTTTTAACTTTTTTTAGTCAAAAAAAAAAAGTACAAAAAAGTAAAAAAAAAATCAGTTTTTTAGCACAAAAAAATTTAAAAATCAAAAAAAAAAAGTTAAAAAATTAAAAAAATTAATTAAAATAATGATTTATCAAACACCATCTAACTAACGGTGTGTGTAGGTTTAAAATGGCGGAGAACTCGATACCAAAGGAAGCTGCGTACCAGATAATAAACGACGAGTTGATGCTAGATGGGAATCCGAGGCTGAACTTGGCATCGTTTGTGACGACGTGGATGGAGCCAGAGTGCGACAAACTAATGATGGATGCAATAAACAAGAACTATGTCGACATGGATGAGTACCCTGTTACTACCGAGCTTCAGGCATCTCCTCTCTCTCTTGCTCTCTATTTTCCACCTACCTTCACCTTTTCTTTTTGACATAATTACATATTTTCTTTATTTCTTGTGAATTTTATATTTAATGAAATAACAGAAAAAATAAAACTTTTAATTGCTCTTCTATATAATAAAATGAGTTATTTATTGTTCGATTATAAACTTGAAAGGATAAGATATATTTTTCAAAACTACGGGATAATTTATATTTTAAATAAATTTTAAAAGTGTATTTATAATTTATCCATTCTTTTTTAACTTTTGATACTTTTTCCTAAATTAGTAATATTTTTTAAGTTTTACGGTTTTCTATTCTAATACAATCTTTTTATTTTTATTTTATTTTTATGTAAATACTAAATCACTACCGTATATAAGAGTTTTTTATACTAAATTTTTTTGTCCCTAAAATAAAATTTGTTGTAAAAAACATTTGATGACTAATTCATTGAGACCAAATTTTAAAAATGCCGCTAATAAATACAAAAATTTTAGTCTCAAAAGATAGTAATTTAACACTAAAGCTTCGTTTGGCAAGTGATTTTTTTAGTCAAAAAGTTACTAAAAAGATAAAAAAATCAACAACCTATACCAAAAAGTTAAAGATTTTTTTTTTCTTTACTTTTTGCACATCTTTTTGTAAAAGTTAAATAGTCATCCCAAATATACTAGTTTTTTTTACATCATATTTTAGCCAAAAAAACAAAAAAGTTATTAAAAAAAACCAATTCCCAAACGAGACCTAAATGTTTAATTTCGTTACTAAAAATACAATAATAATACTTTTCACAATTAAAATATTTTGTTCAAATAAATTGATTTTGTTCTTAATTTTTATTTTTAAAACGTTAATTTATTGTAGTGAATAGCAGTACAAGAAAATTATGACCCAAATGTCATACAGATTGCGGGTTAGGAAAGGAGTTAATTTTTTTTGACAAAACAGATTCTTAAATCCGGAAAATATTTTTTAAAAAAAAAATTGAAACACAACCAAAGACATCCTTCCTTCACTTTTTGATATTGACAAAAGTTGTTTGACCAGGCTAGGCTAACAAATGAAATGGTTGGCTAACTTCTTCTTCTTTATTTATTTATTTATTTTTATTTTTAAATGCAGAACCGGTGCGTGAATATGATAGCACATCTGTTTAATGCACCACTGGGAGAATCGGAGGCCGCTGTTGGAGTCGGCACGGTCGGGTCATCGGAGGCCATAATGTTGGCCGGCCTTGCTTTCAAGAGGAAGTGGCAAAACAAGAGAAAAGCCCAGGGCTTGCCCTTTGACAAGCCCAACATTGTCACCGGAGCCAATGTTCAGGTATGTCACACACTCTTTCCATATTCTCCAAATTCTCCTCCAAATTTTGACACAAAAAAATATAAAATCCTGCTATGGACACACTCATAATGGGAGCAATAATGCTAAATACACTCACAAAAAAAAAAAAAAAAAAAATACATAGAAAGTGTACTGTGTGGTTAAAATTTATTTTGAATATAGCTTGGGCCACATTTAAAACACAATCAAGCTTAAGCTTGATAGCTCATGATCTTGAATTCTTGATACAAATAAAAAAATTTTAAAAAACTGACACAGGTTATTTTGGGTGTTGCACTACTAGACCTATAACTCTGATATATGCGAAATTCCAAGTTTGAACTCTAAGAGATAAATTAATAGTTTAAAATTCCATTTCTCAATCGGAAGAAATCACTAATCGCCCTTGATGAGCCAAAAAAAAAAAAAAAAAAACTCTAATATGATTATGTGCTATTCGAGGATTTTATATCTCTAAATCTCTTTGTTCCTTTATTTTAAAGCACTCACAATCACTTTATCATTGAAAATCTCGAGATATAATAATCTCAATAAATATTCTAATAGTTGTAAATGTTTTGGAATATAGTCACAGAGGGAGAAAACAACAATGCTGGGACCCAGTGGGGGTGACCCCCAGCACCCCCACCTCCACGTGGGGGGTTGTGAGAGCAAGACAAAAAAAATAAATAAATAAATAAAATTTCAACCAATCAAAAAATAGTGGGGGTGCTGGGGGTCATCCCCACTGGGGGTCCAAGTCATTTTTGGAGAGAAAAATATTTGGGGGTCATCGCCACTGGGGGTCCAAGTCATTTTTGGAGAGAAAAATATTTGGGGACAGATGATGCCATACCCTATGAACCCTAATCTAGCAACACCAAACTAACATTTGACTTTTCCTAATTTCCTTGTGAAAAAGAAAGAAAAGGAATACAAAATGTATTTTTGTGCCACAAAATTTCCTATGCTAAAATTATGAATCATTGAAAATCATGTAATGGTTAATTGACTTGGCTACTTTGCTTTTGTATTTGGGTTTGGTCAATGTAGGTATGCTGGGAAAAATTTGCAAACTACTTTGAAGTGGAGTTGAAGGAAGTAAAGCTGAGAGAAGGCTATTATGTAATGGACCCAGTCAAAGCTGTTGAGCTTGTTGATGAAAATACCATCTGTGTGGCTGCTATTTTGGGCTCAACTCTCAATGGTGAATTTGAAGATGTCAAGCTGTTGAATGATCTTTTGATTGAAAGAAACAAGCAAACTGGGTATGATATCACTACTTCTTACTTAGTTCATACGTATATAAAAAATAATAGTTTAGTGCACGAAACCCTTGTCATCACCACGAGATTTGAATATGAAGTTAAATTTGAACTAAAATTTTTTAAAGTTAAAACTTTGTAAGAATTTAAAGGTTATTTTTTTCCCCAAAAGTTAAATTTTATGAAATAATCTCTACTTGATAATGTTATTCATAACTCAATTCCATTTGTCCAATTCTTAAAAACTATCTTTTTTTTGGTTTTTTATTTTTTTTTATTGGCTTCAAAATAGTAGTTGAAAATATCAAATTATCTCAAATAGAGAACAAAAGGATTACATTGATTCCAAAATTTTATTTTTATGTACATTCTTATTTTTATTTAACTGGACGGGATTACATAAGAGGTTTAAGTATATCATGGCACTCCTAAAAAATCTAACATTAAAATGTATAACTAATACTTTGTTAAATGGGTTATCCATGCCTAACCTGACCTGTTTATTTATTGTGGTATCATGTTGGGTCATAATCAGATTTGTGGAAAAAAATGATCAATCCCTAACCAACCAACTCCGTATACGGTTTGTGTCATGTTAATGTATCATATCAAATATTCCCACCTCTAATGTAGGAAGAATGTCCTACCGCTGCGTGGAAAAAAAATATTTCTGTAATTTGAACCCATGATGTTTAAGATGTTACATATATGGTCCAGTTATTTGAAATCTATTCTAAGCCCTGTTTTGAAAATTTGCAGATGGGATACACCAATTCATGTAGATGCAGCTAGTGGTGGATTCATAGCACCATTCATATATCCAGAGCTTGAGTGGGATTTCAGGCTTCCATTAGTGAAGAGCATTAATGTGAGTGGTCATAAGTATGGGCTTGTCTATGCCGGAATTGGGTGGGTTATCTGGAGAACCAAACAGGACTTGCCTGATGAACTCATCTTCCACATTAACTACCTTGGAGCTGACCAACCTACCTTCACCCTCAATTTCTCCAAAGGTGAGTAAACTAAAACCTCTCCCAAACTTCAATTTATAGCCATCTATGAAGTACAACAATACTATAAAAATTATGACATAAGAGTATGAGATATGCACACTAGTATAAGGTATGCAAAATATGTATTTGTTATTTTTTATAATAAAGAATTGAATATTGGATACGGAATGGGTACATTGGGGTACTTTTGAGGGTATGTCGAAATACAAATGCAATTTTTTTTTTCAATGTTGGGTATTAAAATAAATATATTGTGTCTATTTTTTAAAAATAAAAGGCACTTGGTAAATATCACAAATTTGAGAGAGCACTTGGGATTCTCTTTAATCTCTCAGTAAACCTCTCTTTGTTGGTCGGCATTAAACTCTAATTTGTATATTATTAACTATTTTTTGCATTTGATTTCTAATTATTACAATTTTAATGAACTACTATAAAGTATAAAAATATATAACCTGATTGAACTGATATCTGACTTCTTTTTTAAGTTGTCATATGGGCATAACAGTATCAATAGATGTACCCATATTTGTGCTTTAGAGAAAAACCTAATTTGTTTTTTGTTGAACAATGAAGCATGATCTAAAACTTGTACATGCCTAATGCAGGTTCAAGTCAAATTATTGCTCAGTACTATCAACTCATCCGCTTGGGTTTTGAGGTGAGACAACTCTATCACAAAATTGCATACACATAAATCAAACAAAACCAAACTATATATTCATAGAATTAACAACTTGTGTCAACCAGGGATACCAAAATGTGATGGAGAATTGTCGTCAGAATGCGGTTGTGTTGAAACAAGGACTAGAGAAGACCGGGCGCTTCAACATTGTGTCCAAGGACATTGGTGTTCCTCTTGTCGCCTTCTCTCTAAATGACAACAGCCGTTACAACGAGTTTGAGGTCTCTGACATGTTGCGAAGGTTTGGTTGGATCGTGCCAGCGTACACTATGCCAGCTGATGCACAACATGTGACAGTTCTCCGTGTTGTCATTAGAGAAGACTTCTCACGAACCCTAGCAGAGCGCTTGGTGTTCGACATCTGCAAGGTGCTCCATGAGCTCGATGCTCTGTCTTCAAAAATAAGTGCCAAGAGGGAAGAGAATGGGAAGAATGGGACTGTGGTGAAGAAAACCGCATTGCAGACGCAGAGGGAGATCACTGATGTTTGGAAGAAATTTGTCTTGGCTAGGAAAACACAAGTGATTTGCTAGTACTAATTAATTTGATGTGCCATTGAGGGTCTTGACATGTTTTACAGAGTTTTTGAAAGTTTCTTCCCTTTTTTTTTCTTTTTATTTTCTTTTTATTTTTTTTAATTTAAATTTTGGTTAATCACTAATTGTCAATGGTCATGTTTGCCTCTTTCTGGCAAATTATATGCAACTACTAAAATTGCTTTTCTTGTTTTGGTTTGTTAAAGATTTTTGAGTTTATTGTTCATGATGGTATAACTTGTTATTTTTGAGTGAAATAGATGAATACTAGATAAACTTTGCCCTTTAAACAATGAGGATCATGAAAATTATTCAATACTTCTCGATTACATTGTTCATACCAAAAATAAAGTTAATCAGAAATCAATAATTACGTGTAGGATTGTATATCTTTGATCAAGCCAAAAGATGATTTTGTTTGATGAATTTGTGTTTGCCTGACTAAGGGGCCATCCTAATTAGTTTGCTCATTTCCTTACTAATTAGAGTTCGAATCCCTTACTATTAGTAGAAGTCCGACGGTTTAAGTGTATCGGTTAGCTTCACCCAATTTAGCCTGTAAAGGTGAATCTTAAGAGTCTCCTTTATCCTTGAGGGTGCTCTCGGCATCATATATATATATATATATTGAGTTTGCCCCCACAGGAAGAACCTAATAACAAGAGACCAAGACATTATTCATCAACAGTGGTTTACAAATCCAGAAAAAAAATATAAAATAAAAAATAAAAAAACTCATAATATTATCCTAAATTAACAATTAATGGCCGAAATTCACTCATGCTATGCCCATTATAACAACTTCAAATATGAACCTTTAATTTATCTTTTTAATTCATTTTCTGAGATCCTAGACTTTCTCATTCATCAGTGTCACAATTGAACAGTGAATCCACTGAAAATGAGTGGCATATATATATATAAAAGGAAAATGGTCTTTTTAAGAACAATGATTACGGAAGCTCCAAACTCTCAAACTAATTTTGTTAATTTGTTAATTTTTAAAGAAATAAAAAAAAAATCCATTGGTTAGTTCCTTAAGTCAAAAATCCAAAAAAAAAAAGAAAGAAAATTAATTATCTACAATTTTGAATTTTAAAATTCAAAACAATATGATAAGTCACCCTCACTCTTTTCAAAAATAATTTTGATCAAAACAATTCAAATTAAAAAAAAATAAAGAAACTAATTATCTATGATTTTGAATTTCAAAATTCAAAATAATATTGTAAGCCACCTTCATCCCACTCTCACCTTTTCCAAAAATAATATAAATCTAAAATTTTAAAAACCCAATCAAATTAAAAATTTAATACAATTCTCTCTTTAAAATACTCAATATTTGATCCTTTTCCATCCCAGTCAACTCATCCCCAAATGTAATGATGCAATAGTTATTCTCTCTCTTTGTCAATAGTCCAAACTTATTTCAAGTTTGTTTGTTTGTGATTTTTTTTTCTTTTTTTTGTAAATTTATATTTTCACGTGAGTATTTATTTATTTTTTCTCTATATGACTTTTTTTCCAATGTATTTTTTTTTTTCTAACTAAATTGATAATAAATTGTTAACTATATTTGTTTTGGGAGTTGATTTGAAGTTTTTTTTTTTGGGTAGATGTTTGTGTATTTTTTATATTGTTGTTATTATTTCTTTTGATATATGTGAATTGATAATATAGTTGAGTTATTTTATTATTATTATTATTTCTTGGGTGGGTATTATTATTATTATTATAGAATAAGGTATCGTATATTGTTCTTTATGATTTGGCCATTTTTTAAATTTCTTAAACAAAATTTTCAAATTGTTTATTTGTAAAAAATTAAAAACATTTAATTGATTTACCCATCAATAAATAAAATTTTAAACAATGAACACTATTCCATAGTTTATGGATTTAAAAAAAAAAAAAAGTTGAAACTCTTTAAAACTCTAACGGTACCTTTTTATTTCCACAATATTGTCTTTTTATATTTACAAAGATAAAAAACTAGGCCGGAGTTACATAATGGTTAGTAGAGATGGTGAGTATGGCAACAACAAGGGTGATGATAAGCTTGGCCAGAGCATTGTTTGGGTGGATTTTGAAAAAGTGAATATTAAAAGAATAGTAGATAGTTTGGGTGATGAATTGATTTAGAAAACTAATGTATGGTTGAGATTAAGTGTGAGTTTTACCATATAAAAATTGAATATGGATCATACATTGTTTTTAATATATAATTTTGGATACTTTTGTATAACTATCAAAAATTACTGTGATCACATGTTACTTATCATTTGATATATTATTCTTGTATTATGGTAATGAATTTTATTATTAATGTCTATTATCAATGCAATGATGAGAAGTCAAATGATAAAAAAAAAATATGTTTTGTTATTATTATTATTGATAATATATTTCTTTATTTACCTTTTTACAATATTCAAAAAATTAATTTATGTTTATTGTTAGTTTTTGTAGATGAGAAGTCAAAAATAAATTTTAACCAAATTCAAGTTATAACTAATTTGAGATTGAAAAGGAAATTTCAAAAGAAATTATAATTATATATAATTTTAAAATATTTTAAAAAAATACAAGGAAAAATTGAAACTATAAATTAAAATTATCAAACAACCTAATTCTATGAAAAAATTTAAATGAAAAATTGATCAAATTTGAATTTATAATTATTAAATATTTTTAATAAGCCATTAATTTTTTATTCAGTTTATAGAATGATCTAGTCTTAAATAGTTTTTTAGATATAAATATATCTTAATATTGATACAATCAATATTAGACATATTTTAAGATGGGTAAATTATATCGATAATCCCTGCATTTTGTTTCTTGTGTCAATTTAGTTTCTGTAATTTCAATTAGTTTGATTTTTATCCCTAATTTTAGATTTTATATTAATTTGGTCCAATTGATAATGCCGGTTAAGATTTTTGAAAAAAAATAGTTATTGAGTTGGTTGAGACTAACTTATTGAGTTGAATAAGTTTATAATTTTGTCTATAAAAATATAACAAATGCTACTCATGTGTGTATTTTCAATAAAATAAATAAATAAATAAACTAGCAATTATAACAATTGGACCAAATTGGGACAAAATTATAAATCTAGGGTCAAAATTGATCAAATTAAAATTGCAAGGACAAAAATAACACAAGAGTTAAAATATAGGGATTACCAATGTAATTTATCCTTTTAAGAATAAGTACATAATTTCTTAATTAATTTTGAAATTGTTAACAAATATATCAAACAAATATATGTACATATTTCCTATTTTTGTTATAAATTTTAAAAAATATATATATTTACTAATTAAAAATTAAATAAATAGGTAGGTCTACTAAGTCATGGATTGGACATGAATTAGAAGATTCTCTAAGGACTAGGCTTAAATCAAGAATTATTGGCAAAAAAAATTGGCTTAAACTAAATTTTCTTGGCTACTTTTTAGTGTTTAATCCAATATTAGAACCCCCGAAATTAGCTCATATCAGTCACGAACTGATAAACTATGATATAATTTAAATTTATTAGGACTAGAATATGACCCACAATTTAGGGTGGTGTAGACACCACATTTTTTACTGCCCTTAAGACTTGGGCACTTCTGATTGATCTCCCAATGATGAAGTTATATGCTGTCCAAACGCTCGATTTCCTTAGCAGAAAGCCCTAGTTTTGAGTCTCAGAAGCCTGCAAACCTTGCACCATTTTTGGACCAAAACAATATTTTTATTTTTTATTTTTTATTTTAAAGCCTGACCACCTAGAGGCCTGCAGACCCACTAGTGCTCGGTCGGCCAGAAGAAGTGTATGGCCATCCCCCTAGTGGCCGGCTAGCCAACTATTCCGGTAGAACAGATATTTTGCTGCCAGCTATGCCAACTGTCTCCACAAGTGCATGCACTACACCAGCTGTTTCTATACTAATATTTCCGATGTAGTAACATATTTTTCTATATATACTTGACCCCCTCTCATAAAATTAGATTAGAAAAATTTTGGTGAAGCAAAATTCTTGGAAAATATTTCTCTCTATACCTTGCAACCCATACACACCTTACCTAGATTTTCTAAACAAGATTTTTTAGGTCTCTTTGTTGAGGTTAGTGAGCTTGAATTTTAGCTCTTGAGAGTGGGAAATTGTTGGTTTATAACTCAAAGGATTACTCATCTTCAAGAGGTATAACTCCTGACTCTTTTACAGTACTTCTTTCTTATCTTTTCCTACTGTTTTTGTGCTGTTTTTCAATTGTGTTTATGGGCTGAAACTTGTGTTTAAGCTTGAAAAATCTAGAAATCCCCTAGATATTGATTTGTGATTATGTAACAATTTTAAGTAGTATATAACAATCCCAATCAAACAATCAACACAAATCAACACAACGATTTTAACGTGGAAAAAACCACAATTGGACACCTCCAACTGTGATTAAAAAACCACGGGCAACAGCCACAAAACAATCCACTAAGAAGATTTAAAGGAATTACATAGGTATACTCTCAATTACCTAGCGAATCCACGCCTAATTGAACCAACCTCTATGTGCCTCTTCCAACTCGTCTTCACCTCGGAATTGTCTTTACGACGAGCCACCCCGGAATCCACCAAAGCTTCAGGCTCGAATTCTTCAGAATCCACCGAAGAATAACTCTCTCTTTTGTAGAACAAACAAAACCTTTGATGTATATTCTTTAAAATATGAGTTGAATACTCAATCAAAACATTAAAGAAAACTCACAAAGTATCCCCAAATATAAACCCTAGAACCCAAAAAGAAGATCTGGAGTTGTAATCCTAAAATCTGACCCAACATGCGAATTTATAGAATCTGTCCCGCGATCTCCGCTCGAGCGCCCAATAGCCCGCTCGAGCGGCTTCAGCAAAATATGCGCGTGATATAACAGAGGTCCGCTCGAGCGCGAAATCACACAGCTCAGTACTTTTACAGGCGACCAAAACTTCTGGAACCAGGGATTCTCTGCTCGAGCGGGGTAATGTCCGCTCGAGCAGACAGGCAACTTGGAATGCATTTTTGCATTTTGCTTCGGGGGCGCTGCCCTGTAGACGTCCCCCGAACGCCCCGGGAGGGTGAGCTCCCGTTCTGTTCATTTGGGGTCACTACAGCTCGAACTCTTAAATGTCGCGGTTCCTAATCTGAACCAAAGAGTCCAAATCCGGCAAATCATTTTGAGAAACTGATTTTTGAA